TATCAGGGCCGCCATCAGGGCATGACAACCGTAACGGAGGGGGGAGAGGAAGGGAGGAAATTTGAGGGGGGGAGAGGAAGGAAATTTGAGGGAGGTGAGGGAGAGGAAGGAAATTTGAGGGAGGGGAGGGAGAGGAAGGAAATTTTGAGGGAGGAAGGAAATTTGAGGGGGGGAGGGAGGAAGGAAATTTGAGGGAGGGGGAGAAGAAGGAAATGAGAGGGAGGGGGAGAAGAAGGAAATGAGAGGGAGGGGGGGAGAAGGCAATGAGAGGGAGGGGGAGAAGAAGGAAATTGGAGAGAGGGGGAGAAGAAGGAAATTGGAGGGGGGGAAGAGGAAGGAAATTTGAGGGGAGGGGGGAGGAAGGAAATTTGAGTGAGGGGAGAGGAAGAAAATTGAGGGGAGAGGAAATTGGAGGGGGGAGAAGGAAATTGGAGAGGGAGGGGGAGAAGAAGGAAATTGGAGAGAGGGAGGGAGGGGGAGAAGAAGGAAATTGGAGGGGGGGTAGAAGGAAATTGACGGTGTGAGGGGGAGAGATTGACATCCATCACACACACACACACACACAATGCACCCCTTGCACACAGAAAAACACACAATGCATTACACACAGACACACATACACAAGCAATGCACCCCTTACACACACTCAATGCATCTCTTACAGACGCACACACTGCATCCCATACATACACAAAGTCACCTTGCAGCCCTTACACATACAAACACAGATTCACACAATGCACTCCTTACACACATCAGGACATCCCCCACACACACACTCCACCCCCTGTGAACAAACTCATTGGTGGAACATGAAGGTGGACCCCGGGACCCAGACCTTGAGCTGTGTAAAGGGCCCTCAAAAAAATGGAGCTGCTTCCCGTTCTCCCAGAACATTGATTTTTGTGACCACAGTTACAAACCGCCTCCAGAGAGCCTGTTCTACACCAGACCAGTGGAGTTAGACGGCAGCTAGAACCCATCATCATCCTCATCTGGTTGTAAGTAGGCAATCTAGTATATTATTCGTGGCACTAATCTCTAATTTACCTCACATTAAAGGACCACTATAGTGCCAGGAAAACATACTCGTTTTCCTGGCACTATAGTGCCCTGAGGGTGCCCCCACCCTCAGGGACCCCCTCCCGCCCAGCTCTGGAAAGGAGAAAAGGGGTAAAACTTACCTTTTTCCAGCGCTGGGCAGAGAGCTCTCCTTCTCCGATCCTCCTTCTCTCCTCCCCGTCGGCTGAATGCGCACGCGCCGCAAGAGCTGCGCGCGCATTCAGCCGGTCACATAGGAAAGCGCCTCTAGTGGCTGTCAATGAGACAGCCACTAGAGGATTAGGGGGAAGGCTTAACCCATTCTCTGAAACTGCTATGTTTATGAAAAAATGGGTTAACCCTAGCTGGACCTGGCACCCAGACCACTTCATTAAGCTGAAGTGGTCTGGGTGCCTAGAGTGGTCCTTTAAAGGGACACTATAGTCCCCAGAACCACTTCAGCTTAATGTAGTGGTTCTGGTATCTATAGCCTGTCCCTGCAGGCCTTTTAATGTAAACACGGTGGCACTGCAGCACTGGTGTTAGTTAACATGGCAGATCATATGGGTGGGGCATTGTGATGTCACATGGGGGTGGCAAACTTTACTTTTGCCTAGGGCGGCAAAAATCCTTGCACCGGCCCTGCAAACACTGCATCCCTGTGGGCGGACTTGGGGGGGGGGAGGAGGGGGGACAGCACTTTGGGCGGACTCGGGTGCAGGCACCGGGGATACAAAAAAGGAGATAGGTTTAGCGCTGTATACATACATATAATAAGGTTGCAGACTCGGGTTCAGGCACCGGGGAGCCCAGACCTTGAGCTGTGTCAGGGGCCCCAAAATTTCTGATGGCAGCCCTGAGAGTTATTACGTGCAAACTCAGCCCAGGGAAGGAAATCAGACTTTTTGTCTTGGTTATGGGAAATAAAGCACCGCAAGTAATTTTCAAGAGACTGGTAAGCCCTTTCAGTGGCACAATTGGACTGTGGGTGGTAAGCAAAAGAATAGGACATCTTGATGCCCAACTCAGTACAAACGTTCTTATTAAGAAATCTGCAGCCATTACAGGGCCTCAAGTCACCCTTAGTTTTCTTGATGGATAGGGCATGTTAAACATAGATGGCACCTCTATCCAAAACAATCTCTTGAGGGAGCTCAGGCAAACAGAACACCTCTTTGGCAAAAATCAAAGCCAATTCGGAAGAGGTAGGTAATTTGGTGAGAGGGATTAGATGCACCATTTTAGAAAATCAATCAATAACTTTCAAAATAGTAGTATCACCTTTGGCTTTCGGTAGGTCAACAATAAAATCCATTGCTAAATGTGATCAAGGTACGTCTGGGATAGCTAAAGGTTGTAATAATCTGCAAGGCAGACTTCTATTAGTTTTGATTTTAGCACAGGTCACACAGGCAGTGATATACTCTCGAGTATCAGTATTTAATGTAGGTCACCAAAATTGTCTAGAGATAGTGTAAATAGTTTGATGGATGCCAAGGTGACCTGCAGTAATGTTGTCATGAAACAAAGAAAAAATACTAGGTCTTTCTGAATCTGGTACAAACATCGGGGGGCTTTTCGGGAGGAGCTAATGCTTGTCCTGCCTGTATTTTTTCTAACAAGCAAGACGACAAGGACAGAACGGTCATTGCTACGATACGTTCTGAGGGAATAATAGAAGATATAACCTCTTTACTATAATCATCTGTATCGAATTGTCTGGACAAGGCGTCAGCCTTTATACTCCTGTTACCTGGTCTGTAAGTTAATATATGATTAAATTTGGACAACAACAAAGACCACCTTGGTTGTCTGGATGATACCAATTTGGCTTCACTGATGTATGCCAGATTCTTATAGTCGGTTATAATCATAATAGGATCACTCTAAGAGATGTCTCCCTTCTTTAAGAGCTAGAACGATGGCCAGTAATTCACGATTACCAACATCATAGTTTTGTTTAACAGGAGACAATTTCTCAGAGAAGAAACCACAACGGTGTAGTGGTTTGTCAGAAGATTCTCTTTGAAAAAGTTCAGCACCAACCCCCATTTCAGATGCATTAACCTCTAAAACAAATAGTTTAGAGGTGTCAGGATGTTGAAGAACAGGGACAACATTAAACAAGGATTTTAATCGGTTGAATGCTGACAAGGCATTGGGAGGCCAGGATTGTGTATTATCCCATTTCCTAGTTGATTGTTGATAGGCGCTGTCACTGATGAAAACCCTTGGATTAATCTACGATAGTAGTTGGCAAAACCCACAAATCGCTGAATGGCTTTCAGACCTTTGGGTAAGGGCCAGTTCAATACGGCTTCTAAATTTTTAGGGTCCATAGAAAAACCAGATGAAGAAATAATGTACCCCAAGAATTGAACCTCAGTCTGACCCAGTCTCATACTTACAAATTTTTTTTTTTTTTTAACATAATGTATTTTTATTAATTCTTCCACTTGTTATGCTCACACAGTAAACAATATTAAGTACAGCAAAAATGTGTGAAATAATATATTTACTTTAAACAGAGTTCCGATCACGGTTTATTTAAAACTAGCACAATGAGAACTATTCGTACATATTTAATGCATTTCATTTCCGGATATCTAAATGATCTAGGACTAGGTTATTACGATTGTTTTATTGCATCATATAAACAATTGGGAAATTAAACCTGAGCTTCCTTTAAAGAACAAACACTTGTATCTGCTGTCTAAACGTGACGCCCACCAGCTACTGTATTCAGTGACAGATTCCTGAACTTCTCGGAGAACGTGACAATATATAGAATATATAGAAGAACTGGCACTAGGTAAATTAGATAGAACTCACGATACAGGCATGGAAGGGCTGGCAACTTTTGGTCTCAAGGGCAAATGCAGATGAATCGTCTTTTTTGCATGTGAAACTCATAGTTCTAATATCCCAGGAAATATCCTAGTGGGTGAGTGCAGGCCTGGAGAGTATAATCCCATACAGTGCTCTTTCTTCGAGTACTTTGCTAACTGACATCCCAACAACCTCTCTGATGTTATTAATTAACAGACGAAAAGCGTGAGGTTGCTGCCCACAACCCCATTAATGCTTGCCCCCCTGCCCCAATTGCCAGCTCTCCTCTATTTGCAGGAGCATAATGAACCCATTTAAAGGGACACAGAAAGCAACAAAGCAACCTTAGCCCAATGAAGCAGATTAGGTAATAAGGATCATGCCCCTGCAGTCTCACTGTCCAAATCTCTGCAAATCTGGAGCCAAATCACCTATTCCATACAGCCCCAGCCACACCTTCCTGCATGTGACTCTGATTGTTTATTTTTCAATCAGAACTTACAGTACAGTGCGTTTACTTTAGACGTTGTTTAATCTCCTGCTCTGTTAATTTACAGATTGTGCAATAAAGAAGGTTTAAAGATTAGATGTCTCTTTACAGAAAATGTGTAGAGAGACTATGTAGGTCGCATGCATGGAGGTGTGACCAGGGCTGCACAAACAAAGTGACTCAACTCCCAAACGGCAGAGAATCGAGCATTTAGACAGCCGAGGCATGATCTATACACAAAAACATCTCCATTCAGCTAATGTTGTCCTGGTGTTTATGGTGTCCCTTTAAACGGTTTTGAAACCATTTCAGGCTATTGTTCTGACTTTGCACTGATTGCCCTCTAATTTGACAACGTGTGATACTGAATGTTAAAAATAAGGAAATTTTGTTTACAATGTACAAACATCATTTGAACATTTCACAGAGTATTCTAATAAGGACGTCACAGTGGATTGGAATGTAGGTCATTTCACAGATATTTGGAATGCAGAATTTTACAGTGAATTGGAATGGGGGGCAGCACATAGTGGTTTGAAATAGGAAAAGTTTCATTGGATTGGAAGGGGTGTAATGTCAAAGAGATGTGTACTGGGAAAATTTCACTGTGAATTGGAATAGGGAGTCACTTCTTTCTCACCTCTGACTGTTTTTCTGTTGGTTAGGAAGTTCCTCAACAGGGGGTGGATCAACATAGTCAGTGTAAGGGGAAAGGGACATGTGAAATGCATTGGTAGAAGGGTGAAAAGCTAGCCGATGCGTTAGGTTTTCTATTACAGCAGCAGGTGAGTTAGACATCAGAGGAGGATACTGGTAAACTGAAGCATTCCTTGGGTCTATCTCTGTGAGTGATGGAAGCTCAGCATCTCTGGCATTTATAACACGTAGAAAAAGCTCTGCTTTTCCAACCTGTGGGACTGTGTTGAGTTGTCCAGTACTCAGTCCTGGCCTCAGTGGTAATGCTCTCACCGGCAGCGTCCAATGTCCACTCAGCACCTGATTGTGTTGGTCAAACAGATCCAGCTTTGACCACCCGCAGGAAGAAAGATGTTGGACCGCCTGGCCATATGGGTTGAACCCCTCTGAGGCCTGCAGCTCCATAACTAGAGCAATGGAAGATGCTGGACGAACCCTGGGTATTGGTTGCTTTGTGGCCAACATGGCAATGTTCCCTTTCGGTGCATTAGTCAGGTGTTGCGGAGAATGCCACATCTCACAGGGCTCGTCAGGCAGGGAAGTGGTTTGGCCCATCCTGTGTCCATTACTATACAGCCCGCTGAGTAGACGCACTTTCTGAAAGGTTGGCTCCAATCCAAGAAGAAAGTCATAGAATATGACAAAGCCAGCCACAGGCAGGGCCGGACTGGGGATACAAAGCAGCCCTGGAAAAAAAATTTGTGCCAGCCCCATAAGTCACGGCGCCATATATTGTCGTGTGTAATATGTAAGGCTATGTCTTGCCAGGACAGATGATTGAGTAATATATATATATATATATATATATATATTGCTTTTTCTAATATAAAATATTGGTCCTTTCAGGGTAAAACGTTTAATTATACAGTAAGCATACTCACATGCAGACACAGGCAATTTCACTGACATTTCAGTGACACACACAAGCTCATTGATACACAGCCTCATAGACAAACAATCTTACTGATATACATCAGCTCATTGACATAAAAACACAAGCTCACTCACTAGCAGGCACACGCATGCAAGCAAGCTCACTCACTAGCAGACGCACACACACAGCTTAATGTGGTGGTACTGGTGTCTATAGCATGTCCCTACAGGCTTTTCAACGTAAACACTGACTTTTCAGACAAAAGGCAGTGTTTACATTGCTTCAAAGTGACACTGCTAGTGACAGTCACTCAGACGGTCACTAGAGGTGCTTCCTGTGTTAGTGCCCTCCCGCCCTCGCGCGCTGCTGAATGAGACTGGCGCCGGAATATGACGTCATATTCCGGCGCCGGTCTCATTCAGCTGCGTGCTGGGGAGCAGAGCCAGCGCAGCTGCGCAGCTCCCTCAGCGGCCGCCAGGACAAGTCCGCCAGCGGCCGCCAAAAGACCTCCCCAGCAGCCAGGGGAGGGCTGGCAGCCTTAGGCCTGGGGGGCAAAACCAGTCAAGTAGACTGGTGCACCTGCCCAGGATCAGAGAAGGTGCAAGGATTTTTGCCGCCCTAGACAAAATAAAAATTTGCTGCCCCCACATGTCACATCACAATGCCCCACCCATATGATCTGCCATATGAACTAACGCCAGTGCTGCACAGTGTGTGTTTACATTAAAAAGCCTGCAGGGACCAGCTATAGACACCAGAACCACTTCATTAAGCTATAGTGTCCCTTTAATGTGAGGTAAATTATAGATTAGTGTCACTAATAATATACTAGATTGCCTAATTACAAGCAGATGAGGATGATGATGGGCTGCAGTTTGGCTCCACTGGTCTGGAGTAGAACAGGATCTCTGGAGGCTGTTTGCAACTGTGGTCACAAAATTCAATGTTCTGGGAGAATTGGAAGCAGCTCAATTTTTTGGGGGCGCCTTACACAGCTCAAGGTCTGGGCCCCAGGGCCTGACGGTGAGTATGCCCATAAGGCCCACTCATAAGTTCCACCCACCCATGAGTTTGCTCACAGGGAGTGGAGTGTGAAGGGGATGTGTTATGTGTTATTGTAGAGGATCTAATATGTGTGCTTATGGTATGTAGTGTTTAGGGTTACCAGTTTGTGCAGGTGATGCAGTGTGTTTGTGTGTAGTGGAAGCAGTGTGTATTTATGTATAAGGGATGTATTATGTGTTTCTGGTTGTGTGTAAGGGATGCATTGTGTGAATCTGTGTTTGTATGCATAAGGGATGCAAGGTGTGTGTCTGTATGTGTGTGCATTGAGTGTAAGAGATGCATTGTGTTCTGTGTGTATGTAAGAAAAGCAGTGTGTGTGTTTGCATGTGTGTGTAAGGGTTTGCATTGCGTGTTTCTGTGTATGTGTGCAAAGGATGCATTGTCTTTGTGTGTAAGAGTTGCATTGTGTGTGTGTGTGTGTAATGGATGCATTGTG